GGGCGGATCCACTAAACACAGCATATCTACCACATTCGCCAGGGATGGAGGGCAGACAGAGTTACCCTTAAACATAAGAGACAGAAGAAGCTGGAGGACTAAAATGTCCTTCTGGAAGCCAGTAGGTAGGGTCTTTTCTTAAAAAAAAAAAAAAAAAAAAAAATTTGGATGTTTGCTAGAGGCCTTTAATTTGGAACTTAGTTCTTTTGCATGTTTGTCAATTGTAGATGTGTTAAAATGGGAAAAAATACCATGATATTAAAAAATCCCTGAGATTTATATATGTTCATATTTAGGCTTCTGAAAGGAAGATAAATCATTTTAGGAAAGGATGTTCATGTTCTGAAACTTGCTTGTAAAACCCTGATCTCATTTTACATTTATATTAAAACATTTTAACAATGGTGGCTGGCTGATTACTTGATTAATTATACTCCTATAGCCCCATAGGCAGCTCTTGTGGGGTTTTTTTTTAAAAAAAAAAAAAAAAAAAAAATCAGAAATATGCCAGAAAATATTTTGGCAGTGAACCCTTTGACACTTACTCACAAAGCATTTGGAATTGTTGGGCCTGGACTACAGCTCTGAAATAAATAAAAAAGAATTTCAATTTACTCAAATGATTGGATTCCTCAGGTAAATGATATCTTGCTGATGATGAAAATCAAAATGGGCCCTAAAACTGAACATGACTTTATTATAAAATGCTTGTTTCAAGCAGAATGTTATAGCCATCTCTTTGCCAAGTTCATGTAAATTCGGGAGGTCTGGCAATGTATGCAAAGACTAATTGCACTGTTCATTATTTTTCTCTCCATTTTTTAATGTGGTCTACCATTCAGAGCAAGGACACCACAGTGGGGTCACACATCCATGTTTAACTCAACAGAATTCAACTATTCACACTTTGAAAAGAGGGAGAGAGAGAGAGCAAGAAAGATAAAAAGAACATTTTAAATAATATGGGTTGTCCTATCTGCTATTCTGTTAATTGAGTCCACGTCCAGAAGTAAACACTAAAGAGGAGATGAATCTGCAGATATATTTACCTGTATCCATCACTATGCAGATCTATATACATAAAACAAGGTATACTGTATTTTATAAATGATCTGAGAGGTGTTTACAAATAATGTGGACTCTCTGTGATTATCACTTAAGCAGGAACTTTAGAATCTAAACTTTAAATAAGGTGAGACTTACTGTTTTATAGGAGGAAGATATTTTAAGTTGTTTTTTTCTAGTAGAGGAAAGAACTTGCTTTGAGCCATCCGCACACCCTCGGGGGTCCCCCTATAGCCAGAGACAGTTGACTGAGGTCCAGAGTTCATGTTGGTCAAGAGACAAAGCAAGGTAACTAAATGAGCATATTCATCTGATTGCTGCGATTTGTAAAACTGCCCCGAAATACAAGCAGGGTTATAAAACCTAGAGTCTCTTTTTAAATAGCTAACACTTCTGGGTGTCTGCTAATGGCAAGGCAATGAGTTGGAAGCCATGGGAGTTTGCAGGTGAATCTGCATGTTTTTACAAATCTCGTAGTTTACAAATCTTGTAGAAGAGATGGATACATCCACAGTGAGTTATAATTCAGGAGAGAATGTGAATATAACAAATGTGATCAGGTAAAACTGTGAATATGAGTATAACTTTAAAATGCAATTACCTCTTCATTATTCACTAAGAGATTGGGATTTGGGAGCTCTGGCTGTCACTTTCTTACAATAGTCTTGGTCTTTAATTGTTCTCATGAGGCTAATACTCAATTATGTTTGTATTCTCTGTGGTAGCTACTAGTTTGGGCCTATTCAGTATTAATAATTCCTCCTGGCTAACAGAACCCCAATTTGATTCAGGGATATGCTCCCCAACCCCCAAAATACCCTCTCTTTTTTCCAACCTCCCAGGCCCCTGGGTGCTCACGTGACCTAATTCTGCCCCATGAGAAACAAGCAGACGTCTGTGGGGTTCTAGGAAAGCTTTTGTTTTCTTCATTAAAAGACATATGTTGAAGCCCTAACCCCCATAGTGACCACATTTGGAGACAGGGCCTTTAAGAAGATAATTAAGGTAAAATGAGGTCATAAGAGTGGGGCCTTAATCCATAGGACTGGGGTCCTGATAAGAGAAAGAAGAGGTACCAGGAGTGCACGCACAGAGGAAAGGCCGTGTGAGACCACAGTGAGCAGATGGCCAGGAGCGAGCCAAGAAAAGAGATCTCACCAGAAACCAACCCTCCTGGAACCTTGATCTTGGCCTTCCAGCCTCTAGAACCGTGAGAACATAATTTCTGTACTTTAAGCCCCCCAGTCTGTGGTGTTCAGTTATGGCAGCCCAAGCAGACCACATAGGCCACAAGGGAAGTAAAATTCAGGATATGTGTATGGTGAACTGTAACCTCCACTGTCTCTTCCTGCTGGAATTATCCATTTCAGTGATACCTGATGAACTTTTGTGCTTTGATTATGCTGTGGGTGGAGCCTCTGACCAAATTAGAAATTGAGTTTGCCTGCAATTTGGAAGAGAATTGTGGGGCCTTCTCTCTAGGAAGTGGGTAGAAGAAAGTTTCTAAGCAGCTTTGATTTCCAAAGCGAGAAGAGGGGGAAGGGAATTTCAGTGTGAGTAAAGCCCCAGAAGCTGGAAAGGAAAGGGCAGTCCCCTTGGTTTGTTCCATTAATATTCACTTTGAGCACCTACAATATGCCAAGCAGTGGTGGCGGTACAGGGATACAGTGAGTAAAACAGTCCTGGATTCTGCCCCTGGGAACATGCTGGGAAACTGCTCAGAGCACAGAGGATGTGGCGGGAGTAATGGGAAACAAAGCTTGAAGGGTAGGGTGGGAACAGATTGTGGGGAGTTTGAACCCTGTCCAGGAATTTGATCTTGATTCAGTAGACAAATGGGGAGTGACGAAATAAAATTCATATTTTATGGCAAGACGAGAAAAATTTAAACATAAAATGTTCTCTCTGCCCATTTGGGCCTCCATCCTCCCCCTTAGTGTGCATAGTGCATCTGTATTATACATTAACCAGACCACTGTATGAGACACAGGAATACTTGCTCAATAAGGAGCAATTTTCTCCTGGCACCAGCAAGGTAACCCCTTAGGAAATAACATTCCTTTCTTAATCCTGTAAGTGGTCACGATGACCCACTACTCACCTTGTATGTGCAGATCTGGACTATGTAAACTGTCAATATGTCATTTGATGTATAATCCTTTGTCTCAAATCTAACTGTGTTTTGACCTCTAATGGCAGGAACAGTTTTAGAGCTCCTCTGAGAGACTGTCTCCTGGTTTGTAATCTTCGGGTTGGCTTGACTAAAATTCTCTATTTCTTTCTTAGACTGACTGTCGATTAATTCATAATTTGTCAACAGGAGCCACTGCAGGTCATTGAACAGGAAAGTGCCCTGGTCATAGCTGTCTTTTAGGAATATGAAGCTGGAAGCTACGTGTTGTTTCAGTTGGAATAGGAAGAAATTAGAGACTGGAAAATCAGTTAAAGGATAAGTACAAAAGATACGGTGAAAGCCTAAACCCAGGTCACATTTGCTGAGACCACTATACGCTAATATCAGTAGAAAACTTCAAGACATTTTATCGAACTCAATAGAAATACTACCATGCATTAACCTTGGAAAAGTTCCCAAAATCCAGGGCTCAGTCTTCTAACACAGAGGCAGCAAAGCAGAGATTGTTTGGCCAAGACTAACACTGATGTAAGCCGGGAAGGAGTGGCCATATTGCCCAAAGTACTTAGAGCAATAAGACTGTCAATGTGTCAGGTTCAAAAGCCAAGAAGTCTCCCATGATGTTGTTGTAATTAATTTGCAGATTATGATAAAGCGGCAGGAACTGTGGGATTTCAGTTAGGAAGATGCAGTTTGAATCTCTATTCTGGGACCTTCTAGCTATAGACAGGGGGCTCGGGGGCCCCACAGATGGGCTGGACTCTTGCTCTCTGTCTGCCCTGGAGCACAGAGGAAATACCCTCTGCTGGGCAGCCCCATCCTTCCAGGGCTCACCAACCAAATATTTGCTCTAACAACAAATTACTGAGCCAACGGCTTCCGTGCAGGTGCCGCTCTGGGCTGCGGAGACACAAACTGGACAAAACTCAAGATTTTGCTTCTCATGGGACCTACCTGGCCGTGGGAGGAGACAGAATACGTCAAAACATAAAATATATTGGCCGGGCGATGAAGACAATCAAATAGAGTCCCGACGAGTAGACACAGAAATGCTCCCAGGCCAGGATCATGCTGTCATCTTGTGCATGACACCCCAGTCCTAGAAAAGTCCTAACTGGAGCTCTATAAATTCATGCTGAACATCAGTAGCATTGCTCTAAATCAAGGACCCAACAGCAACCAAAGGAAGCCGGCAATGGCCCCAAGAAATGGAGAGAGCCCCCCGTGTCCTCCTGGCATGGCCTTTTCCAAACCAGGAGGTTGAGGAAATGCCAACTCTTTATACAACTAAGAAACCTCTAGGACTTGGGGCTTTTTATTTGCTTGGTTTGTTTTTAAATGTGATTCTTGGGATACTTCCCACAGAATCATCTGGGGCAGTCATTAAAAATGCAAATTTCTAGGCCTCACCTCAAACCTACTGAATCAAAATAACTGGAGGAGGGGCCCAAGAAGTTGCATTTTTAACAAGCTCCTAAGTAATGCTGATGCTACATATTACTGATTCAAAAATAAAACAAAACAAAAAATAAAGTCAAGTCTACAAGGCCTCTTTTCATTTTAGTTGTAAAGGTCTCCACAAATGGCTCTTCAGAAAGCTCTTGTATAAACTTCCTTTGCAAAAACTCCACAGCCTGGTCACAAGAGAAATGCACTGGAGGACAGAGCCCGCGTGATGGGAGCAGTCCATCAATGGATCCATTCATTGAAAAAGTCTGAGTGCTGAGACACTGGATGGCTTCAGTGGAAGGGCCTCCCTATCTGGGGAGCTGAAGGATAGACTTTCTGGACTATTCCCTACCTGTGAAGAGGGCATGGTAGTGGAGGCCCCTCTCCTTATCTTGATGGGTGCAGACATCAAATAAGTAGGCTTTGATAGGCCCATCAATGAAGTCAGCAGCAAAATCAAAGAGAACCACACCTATCATGGTGACGCTGATGGCCCAAATCAGCTTCCTCCTTGGGTCAGCAATCAAAGCTAAAAGAGAAACAAACATTGGTCTCCTAAATCCTGGTTTAGAATGATCCGCGTTTCTATTTCCACCCAAACTTCCTGTCATCAAATTATTTCCCTTTACTTTCATTTTGCTTTGCTTTTCCAAATAAGAAATAGCTCCATTATTTTTTCAAGTTTTAAAAATGATGCAGTGAATGTCCAGAAAAGGCAGCTCTCTAGAGACAGAAAGTGGACTGAGCAGCTGCCTAGGACTGTCAGGGAGAAGGAAATGGGGAGTGACTGCTAACGGTTACCAGGTTTCTTTCTGGTCGGGGGGGACGAAAGTGTTGTGTAATTAGATAGTGATGGTGGTTATACAACCTTGAGAACATATGAAAGAGCACTGAGTTGTACACTTTTAGATGGTGATTTTTATGGTATGTGAATCATCTCTTTAAATAAAGCTGTTTAAAAAATTATACATGCTCATTGTAAACCATTCCAACCATATAGAAAAGCTGGGGAGATGCTTCTAGATCCCAGCCCCTAGATCTGGTCATCCTTCAGACACCCCTTTATGCACTACTGTAGAGAGGTGTGCACCTGTGCCCTTATGCAGTGCGTCTCAAACTTCAGCGTGCTTAACCACCACTTGGACGACTTGTTTAAACAGATTGTTGGGCTCCACCTTCTGTGAGTCTCCTGTGATTCATCAGTAGGTGGGAGGTGGGGCCTCCAACAGCCCCCCACTGAGGCTGATGCTGCAGGCTGCCCCCAGGGACCGGTTCTGTGGATGACAATTTTTCCACGACGGGGAGTGCGGGGTGGAGACAGTTCAGGCGGTAATGCCAGCGATGGGGAGGGATGGTTTGGGGGGTCATGTGAGCCACAGGGAGTGGCAGATGAAGCCTCGCTCGCTGGCCCCCCTGCTCACCTCCTGCTGTGCAGCCCGGTTCCCGACAGGCCATGGACCAGTACCGGTTCGTGGCCCGGGGGTTGGGGATGGGATCGTGTTCTACATGAGGATTTCAGGTGATGAAGAGCAACTTCACAGTGTTAACAGCTAAATAATATTCATCCTATGGAATACACTGACTCACTCACAACTATTTCCCTTGCTTTCAGTTTATTTTTTAAACCTAATATGTAATATATGCACCTGTTTTTTTAACATCTTTATTGGAGTATAACTGCTTAACAGTGTTGTGTTAGTTTCTGCTGTATAACAAAATGAATCAGCTATATGCATATGTATAACCCCATATCCCCTCCCTCTTATGTCTCCCTCCCACTCTCCCTATCCCACCCCTCTAGGTGGTCGCAAAGCACCAAGCTGATCTCCCTGTATGTACCTGTTTTTAAAAATACAGTAAAAAAATAAGTGAAAAATAAGCCTACCCTCCCCCTCTCACCCCAGCCCTTTAGTACTCCTTCCCTATTGGCAACAACTCTTTTCAGGTTTTTTTGTAATTTCTTCCAGAAATACCCTACATTTATAGATTTATGCCCTCTTTTAAATATATACAGATGATAACTGATTATCCTGTCTCATTATCATCCATTCTGCTAGCCTGAGAGTTAATGCTCAAAAAATGTGTGCTGGGCTTCCCTGGTGGCGCAGTGGTTGAGAGTCCGCCTGCCGATGCAGGGGACACAGGTTCGTGCTCCGGTCTGGGAAGATCCCATGTGCCGCGGAGAGGCTGGGCCCGTGAGCCATGGCCCCTGAGCCTGCGCGTCCGGAGCCTGTTCTCCGCAACGGGAGAGGCCACAACAGTGAGAGGCCCGCGTACCGCAAAAAAAAAAAAAAGTGTGCTATTTTTAAGTTTAACGATTCTTTTCTCAATGCAATATGTACTACCACCAATTACTGACTAATTGGTGGTGGCTGATTAATGGCTAGAAAAAGTGCTCACCATCAGGTTTATGTCCACAATTTACAGTGCAAAAATGTCCCCTTGAGCTACCAGGCTGATGCCCTGTACCTATTAAAAGACTCCACAGAAAGCTATGAACATAATTAACTCTCATCTGGACACAAAGTTACATTTATGGTAAAAATTTATGGAGCCATTTGGCAGCTGGTTAATTTGAGAAAGTACTAAATAAGGTATAATGGGCACAAAAAAAAACCCCATAATTGATAAACATGTAAAAATATGTAATTTAATAAAATAGGTAAAAATATAATCCTATTTTCAAATTCTCACAATGGAAAAATAATGTATCCTGATGTTTCTAAAAGTAAAGGTGCCTAAGCACAGAATTTGGATCACTCAAAGGTGGAAACTCAATGTAATTTAGGAGAGAGAATCAGTTTTAACCAATTTCTGACTGTGGCGTAAAGAAATCTCCATTCTCCTTTCAGCGAGCTGCATAACAGGACCCTTCTCCCAGCCTGCCCACCTTGTGCTGCCCACTGACCTGATACGATAGCGTCCCCGTTAAGGTACATAGCCATGCCCAGGAGCATCACGACGCCCAGCGTGAGGATGTAGGGTCTCCGCCGTCCCCACGGCCCGGCAGAGTGGTCGCTGGCCAGTCCCACCATGGGCTGCGGACAGGGCTCAGGAGCCACACCATGCTGTAGAGACTCCTGGGCAGGCCCACGCTGAGCAGGACTGGGGTCACGTAGGCCGCCTCCACCGCATAGCAAAACTCCCGGCCGAACATGGCCATGCTGTGCATGACCAGGCTCCCTGTGGGTCTTTTGGGCGGCTCCACAGAGCCAAAGGGGCCCTCCTCAGCGAGGAATTTGTAGGTGTGGATGCCAGGCTGCCCACTGCTGTCGCCCATGGCCACTGGGTGAGGAACCTGCCTGCGAGCCCACCACCTCTTGCGTGGCCCTGGGGTTTGCGCTCCCAGCTGGATTTGAGGTGCAGCCCAGCTGAGCGGCCAACAGAGACGGTCAGGCTGGGGGAGGGGCTCAAATTCTTTCATGCCTCTAAGATCACAAGTTATGATGAGAAGGGGGGTGGGGCCTGGAAAGCATGATGGAGATTAGCTGCTGTGAGCCCTCTGGTTCCTTAGAATGTTTTTCTAAAAGAGTCTTCCTTTGTACTGTTCTCTCTGCCTCTCTCTCTCTCTCTCTCTCTCTCTCTCTCTCTCTCTCACACACACACACACAAAATCTATGACACACAATCACACATAGCTTTGAGACAATAAAGCCCTATAATCCAGATGTTAAGTATGAATGAGTCGATATCTTTTTTCTAAACTTTTTCTAGGTATAAATATTCTGTCCTCTCCTGAACACAAGTTTTCTACACACACACATATAGTCAATCAACTAGATTTAAAACAGTGGGAGGTTGCCCCTTCCCCTAAATCACTAGCTCTCTCACAGCACTGTGATAGTTTCCTTCATTGCACTTAACACACTTCAGATAGTTCGTGTTTATTCTCCTTCTCCTATGTTGGTCTTTGATCCCCTTATGAGCAGTGATCTGGTCTGTTTTGCTCATTATGGCATCTAGCATGATACCTGGCACCTAGTAGGTCCTCAATAAACATTTGCTAAAGGAATTATAGAATGAATAAAGTGTAAACACAACATTTTGTAATGCCAGTCAATTGCCTGTTTGCTCAGATCCGTTCTCTCCCCCTCATACTATGCTCTATACCATAAGGGACTACATTTCCCAGGTTCCCTTGCTCTCTGGCTTCTAGGTAGATTTGTCCAATCAGAGGCACTGGTGGGAAGACTGGGAGCAGGGGAAAGGAAGAAATCAGCATACTTCCTCCCCTCTCTTTCTCCATCCTGAGATGTCTCTGGCAGTGGCTGCATCTCCATTGTGGGTCCAGCTGCCAACCTTAGCTTCTGGGTCCCTATAACCCTACCTTTCCCATTGATCCTGCAGCTATGGGAGTGGTCTTGGCTTCCTGGGGTTGCTCGTATCTGAGTTGCCTCACTGTCCCCTGGGCTTCTCATCTCTTCTATCACCAATGTAATTCTCCATAATAAATTTCCTCTGTTTTAAAGACTTCGAGTGGGTCATATTTTCCTTGTTGGACCTTGATTCAAATGAAAATTTGAGTGGCAAGGGAAACATGATCTCATAGGAAAGGCCCTAAAAATGGTTTAACAGCAAGACTTGGAGTCAAAATATTAAAGCTTAAATTCTGGCTCTGCCTCCTTCTACCTGTATTTCCCTAGGCAAATCACTTAAAGTGGTATTTCCCAAACTGTGTGCCAAGGTGCCCCAGGGCACCACGGTGAACTCAAAGGGGTATCTCAGGAGATTTAAAAATTTAAAGAGAGTAAACTGAAAGAAACTCAACATCTTTCAGATACTACATGAAGTAAGAATGAAATAGTTCATTCTCACAACATAAGACTGTACTACAATCCTTTCAATGACTTTACATTTTTGTGAGGCTGGGTTTTCCACAGCCATGATATAAAGCAAGTATTGTGGGACTTCCCTGGTGGCACTGTGGTTAAGAATCCGCCTGCCAATGCAGGGGACACGGGTTCGATCCCTGGTCCGGGAAGATCCCGCATGCCGCGGAGCAACTAGGCCTGTGCACCACAACTACTGAGCCTGTGCTCTAGAGCCCGCAAGCCACAACTACTGAAGCCCACATGCCTAGAACCCATGCTCCATAACAAGAGAAACCGCCTCAATGAGAAGCCCGCGCACCGCAACGAAGAGTAGTCCCCACTCACCACAGCTAAAGAAAGCCCACACACAGCAATGAAGACCCAACGTAGCCAAAAGAAAAAAAAAAAGCAAGTACTGTATGAATATCAACGTGGAACAGAAAATGAGGGTAGTGACATCCAATCTGATTCCAAGGCACGAGAAGCTGCAGTGTCCAACAGGTGCCTATGACCCATTAGTGACTAAAAATGAAATAAGGAGGGAGATCAAGATGGTGGAGTAGGAGGATATGGAGCTTAACTCCCCGCACAAACACATCAGAAATACATCTACATGTGGAACAATGCTCACAGAAAAGCAAATGGAAACTGGCAGAAGATCTTCCATACAACCAAACCTGCAAGAAAGATCTCCACATAACCAGGTAGAATGAAAAAAAAAAAAAAAAAAAAAGGACAAAAAGGCACCAGAAAGGAGAGAGAAAGAATTCCTCAGACAAGGAAAAACTAAAAGAGTTAAGTAATACTAAACCTACCCTAAAAGAAATATTGGAAGGTCTTCTCTAAATAGAAAAGAAGCAAGTATCTATAGGAAAGACAAATATATCAAAGGATTGAAGATCATTTTAAAAAGCCAGTATATAGATTAAAAAGTTTTTTTTAATTCTGTAAAAGCAATTATAACTACAATGAACAGCAAAAGGATAAACACAAAGATGTAAAATAGGACATCAAAATCGTAAAATGCGGGGGAGCGGAGTAAAAAACTGTAGATCTTTTAGAATGTGTTTGCATTTGCATGACTATCAGTTTAAAGCAAGCAGATATAGTTATGGGTCAATATACTTGAACTCCAGGGTAACCACCGATCAAAAACATAAAATTGATGCACAAAACCAAAAAGAAAGGAACTCAAGCATACTACAAAAGAAAACCATCAAACCACAAAAGGAGAAATAAAAAGAAATGAAGAATTCCAAAATCAATCGGAAAACAAGGTTTAAAATGGCAATAAGTACATACCTATCAATAATTACTTTAAATGCCAATGAACTAAATGCTCTGATCAAAAGACAGAGTGGCAGACTAGATTAAAAAAAACAAAAGCCCACCATGTGCTGCCTGCAAGAGACTCACTTCAGGAAGAAAGACACAGACTGAAAATGAGGGCACAGAAAAAGATATTTCATGCAAATGGAAACGACAAGAAAGTGGGTAGCGACATTCCTATCAGACAAAATAGACTTTAAAACAAAGGCCATAAAGACAAAGGACATTATATTATGATACAGGGATCAATACAAGAAGAGGATATTATACTCATTAGCATATATACACCCAGTATAGGAGCATCTAAATATATAAAACAAATACCAACAGACATAAAGGGAGAAATTGACAGTAATACAATAATAGTAAGAGACTTTAACACCTCACTGACATCAAGAAACAGATCATCCAGACAGAAAATTAATAAGGCAACAGAGGTCTTAAATGACACAATAGACTAGTTGGGCTTAATATAGAAAAAAAAACCAGAATACACATTCTTTTCAAGCACACATGAAACATTCTCTAGGGTAGGTCACAAAACACGCCTCAGCAAATTTAAGAGAACAGAAATTATTTCAAGCATCTTTTCTGACCACAACAGTATGAAACTAGAGATCAACCACTGAAAGAAAAATGAGAAAAGCATGATTACATGGAGACTACACAATATGCTACTAAAAAGCCAATGAGTCAACAATGAAATCGAAGAAGAAATGAGAAAGTATCTCGAAACAAATGAAAATGACAACACAACCTCACAAAATCTATGGGATGCAGCAAAAGCAACTCTAAGAGGGAAGTTAACAGAGATACAGTCCTTTCTCAAGAAACAAGAAAAATCTCAAATAAGCAACCTAACCTACCACCTAAAAGAATTAGAAAAAGAAGAACAAACAAAACCTAAAGTCAGCAGAAGGAAGGAAACAATAAAGAACAGAGAGGAAATAAATAAAATAGAGATTTAGAAAACAATAGAAAAAAACCAATTAAACCTAGAGGTGGTTCTTTGAAAGGGTAAACAAAATCGACAAACCAAGAAAAGAGAGAGGACCCAAATAAAATAAGAAATGAAAGAAGAGAAATTATAACTGATACTACAGAAATACAAAAAATCATAAGAGAATACTATGAACAGTTACATGCCAACAAATTGGACAACCTAGAAGAAATGGACAAGTTTCTAGAAACATACAGCCTACCAAAACTGAGCAAGAAGAAACAGATAATTTGAACATCACTAGAAGTAAAATAGAACCTATAATTAAAAAACAAACAAACAAACACAACTCCCTGCAAATAAAAATCTAGGACTGGACAGCTTCACTGGGAAATTCTACCAAACATACAAATAAGAACTTACACCTAACCTTCTCAAACTACTCCCCAAAATTAAAAAGGAAGGAACATTCCCAAAATCATTCCAGGTAGTCACCATCACCCTGATACCAAAACCAGACAAAGACACTACCAAAAAAGAAAATTACAGGACAATACCTTTGATAAATATAGATGCAAAAATCCTCAATGAATATTGGCAAACCGAATCCAACAATACATAAAAAGGATCATACACTACAATCAAGTTGGATTCATTCCAGGGCTGCAAAGATGGTTCAACAAACACAAATCAATGTGATATACCACATTAACAAAAATGACAAAAAACCACAGGATCATCTCAATAGACACAGAAAAAGCATTTGACAAAATTCAACATCCATTCATGATAAAAACTCTCACCAAAGTGGGTATAGAGGGAACATATCTCAACATAATAAAAGCACTTAAAACAAACCCACAGGGGCTTCCCTGGTGGCGCAGTGGTTGAGAGTCCGCCTGCCCATGCAGGGGACGCGGGTTCGTGCCCCGGTCCAGGAAGATCCCACATGCCGCGGAGCGGCTGGGCCCGTGAGCCGTGGCCGCTGAGCCTGCGCATCCGGAGCCTGTGCTCCACAATGGAAGAGGCCACAACAGTGAGAGGCCCGCGTACCGCAAAAAGAAAAAAAAAAAAAAAAAAAAAAAAAAAAAACCCACAGCCAACATAATAACAGTGAAAAGCTGAAATTTCTTTCTCGCTAAATTCAGGAACAAAACAAGGATGCGCACTCTCACCACTTCTATTCAACATAGTATTGGAAGTCCTAGCCACAACAATCAGACAAGAAAACAAAATAAAAGGTATTCAATTTGGAAGGGAAGAGGTAAAACTGTCACTATTTGGAGATGACATGATACTCTATACAGAGAACCTTAAAGACTCTACACAAAAACTATTAGAGCTAATTAATGAATTCAGCAAGGTAGCAGGATATAGATACAGAAATCTGTTGCATTCCTTTACAGTAACAATGAAATATCAGAAAGAGAAGTTAAAAAACAATCCTGTTTAAAATTGCATTTAAAAATACCTAGGAAGGGCTTCCCTGGTGGCACAGTGGTTAAGAATCCGCCTGCCAATGCAGAGAACACAGGCTCGAGCCCTGGTCCGGGAAGATCCCACAAGCCACGGAGCAACTAAGCCCGTGCGCCACAACTACTGAGCCTACGCTCTAGAGCCGAGCCACTACTACTGAGCCCACGTGCCACAACTACTGAAACCCGCACACCTAGAGGCCATGCTCCGCAACAAGAGAAGCCACTGCAATGAGAAGACTGCGCATCTCAAAGAAGAGTAGCCCCTGCTCGCTGCAACTAGAGAAAGCCCGTGTGCAGCAACAAAGACCCAATGCAGCCAAAAATAAATAAATTAATTAATTAAAAATAAATACCTAGGAATAAACTTAACCAAGGAGATGAAGACCTACATGCTGCATACTATAAAACACTGATAAAGGAAATTAAAGATGATTCAAAGAAATGGAAAGTCCATGCTCTTGGATTGGAAGAATTAACATTGTTAAAGTGGTCATACTAACCAAAGCAATCTACAGATTTAATGTGATCCCTATCAAAATAGCCTTAACATTTTTCACAGAACTAGAAAAAAAGAATTCTAAAATTTATATGGAACCACAAAAGACCCAAGATTGACAAAGCAATCCTGAGGAAAAAGAACAAAGCTGGAGGCATAACCCTTCCAGACTTCAGGCAATACCACAAAGCTACAGTTATTAAAACTTCACACTATTGGCACAAAAACAGACATGTAGATGGAATAGAGAGCCCAGAAATAAACCCACACACCTACAGTCAATTAATCTATGACAAAGGAGGCAAAAATACACAACAGAGAAAAGACAGTCTCTTCAATAAGTGGTGTTGGGAAAGGTGGACAGCTACATGTAAATCAGTGAAATTAGAACACTCCCTCACACCATATACAAAAATAAACTCAAAATGGTTTAAAGACGTAAATATAAGAGGTGACACCATAAAACTCCTAGAAGAGAACATAGGTAAAACATTCTCGGACATAAATCGTAGCAATATTTTCTTAGATCAGTCTCCCAAGGTAATAGAAACAAAAGCAAAAATAAACAAATGGGATCTAATCAAACTTATGAGCTTTTGCACAGCAAAGGAAACCATTAACAAAATGAAGACAACCTGTGTGCAGAATAGGAAAAAGTACTTGCAAATGATGCAACCAACAAGGGCTTAAGTTCCAAAATATACAAACAGCTCATAATATTCAATAGCACAAAACCAAACAACGCAATCAAAAATGAGCAGAAGACCTAATAGACATCTCTCCAAAGAAGACATACAGATAGCCAAAAGGCACATGAAAAGATGCTCAACATCGCTAATTATTACTGAAATGGAAATTAAAACCACAATGAGGTATCACTTCACACCAGTCAGAATGGCTATTATCAAAAAGTCTTCAAATAATACTGAAGACAGTGTGGAGAAAATGGAACCCTCCTACTGTTGGTGGCAACGTATACTGGTGCAGCCACTATGGAGGGTATGGAGGTTCCTTAAAAACCTAAAACTAGTGCTACCATGTGATCCAGCAATCCCACTTGAGTAAGTATCCAGAAAACACGAAAATTCTAATTCAAAAAGATACATGCACCCCAATGTTCATAGCAGCATTATTTACAATAGTCAAGACATGGAAACAACCCAAGTGCCCATCAGCAGACAATTAGCTTAAGGAGATGTGGTATACATATACAATGGAATACTACTCAGCCATAAGAGAATGAAATGTTGTCATTTGCAGCAATATGGATGGAACTAGAGATTATACTTAGCGAAGTAAGTCAGACAGAGAAAGACAATTTCATGGTATCACTTATACGTGGAATCTAAAAAATAATACAAATGAATCTATGTATAAATCAGAAACAGACTCACAGAAAATAGATTTATGATTACCAAAGGGGGAAGGGGTGGGGGAAGGATAAATTAGGAGTATGGGATTAACAAACTACTATATATAAAATCAACAACAAGGATTTACTGCATAGCACAGGGAACTATATTCAATATCTTGTAATAACCTATAATGGAAAATTGTCTGAAAAGTATATATACATAACTGAATCACTTTGCTGTCTACTAAACACAATATTGTAAATTAACTATACTTGAATTTTAAAAAAGAATGAAATAAAAAATGTCTTCAATGTATGTGTATTATATTTTTCAAACAGCTAATAAGTTGTCAGGACATAAATACTTCAGTTGTTGGGACCTGATTATTTATAAGTGGAAGGGTTAGGTATTTCTTCTGACCTAGGGGCACCATGAAAAAATTACTAAGACACTAAGGGAGATGTGAACTAAGACGGTTTAGGACCATCTGAGGCTTGTGTCCACATCTATAAAATGGAGAAACCTGCCCTACCTTCCCCTTGTGATCACTGAAGAGCAACTGAAATACTGTATGTCACAGATATAACATCTGTTCTCCACTCCCCCATCCTGATGGAACCTGGACTAGCTTCAGGAATCCAGCCCTCCCTCAAATACCCACGTGCTTCCAGGAAGTTGAGTCCAGGAGAGCTCCAGGAGCAGGCTGGCTTCATCTAAGGATAAGCCTACCCTCTCTGCCAAAGACTGGTGCAGGACTGGCTTGTGACTTATCTAGATCCAAGGAGACACAAGACAAGGTTTGCTGAGGGCTCCTGAGACGCTCTCTTCTTCTGGATGTTGCTGTGTGTGGAAATGAGATCCAGAACTTGCTACATGATGGGGAAAAAAATGAAGGTGAAAAGCTGGGTAGGGAAGTTGAATAGTAGTCCAGGGAAGAGGTAATAGGGGTCTGGATGAAAGCAGCAATGGGAGATGGGCAGAAGGATGGATATGGGAGCTCTGAAGGTGGAACTGACAGAGCTTCACTGTTGAGTTTCATTCCTTTAATAAATATTCACAAAGTTTCCAGTCATGGGCCAGGCATTACTCTAGGAACTGGGGACTTAGCAATGAAACCTAGCAATGAAACCAACAAAGTCCTTCATAAAGCTTCTGCTCTAGCCTGCACTGGTTAAGGAATGAGGGCTGGGGTCAATCAGCATGTCAGCAGTGATACACAGTGTGAAGGAAAATGAAATAGGGTGAGGGGATAGCGAGTGACAAGGCAGCTGCCATCCTGGACAGGGGTCAGGAAAGGACTCTCCGTAAGGGACATGTGAACAGTGGCCAAATGAGGTGAGGCGTAAGCCGTGGGGGCCTACTGGGGGCACAGGGAGACAGCACAGGAGTGGAAGCTGGAGACTGGTAAGAGGAGGAAAAGTCTAGTTAACACTTTCAAATGCACGATGGTGGAGTTTACTGATAAAGAGACACATTTGGATGATACTAACAGGCAGCTACACACAGGAGCGGGTCTTGATGGAGAGGTGGCAACTATCTGAAGGAAACCTCAGGACATTTTCTAAAATTCCAGTTCCAAGACGCTGGCTGAATGATTTCCTTACCAAATTAAAAGGATCAGACTTCTCTATCTAAGGACATTCATTCTGGTTAACAGTAGAGACTAAAATATTTCAAGGAGTAACAAAAGGCAATTTTAGTGCTATTTAAAGAACTTTCTTGAAAGTTTTTCACAAACTTAAAAGCATGAGTAAACTTCGGGGGGAAAAAGGCTTTATTTAATAAAAAGCATTATATTAATTCATTTAAAGTGTATTATAAATATATAAATATTTTAAATCAACAAATATAACCAATCAAAGTAAATTGGAAGGCAGAAAAACTGCCACAATTTAGTATAGGCAAACTAAAAATATTCCTAAATCAAAAGCCATGATGTTAACCGTTTTCAGAATTCAATCATCGCTCTATAATCAGCCTTGTTTCCTGATTAGAATAGTTGGACCACTGTGATATTGTTTTTTCATGTTTCCATGCATACAATTTTTTGCATTATTCTATACTTTAAATGCAATATTCAAATTTGTTTGAGTTGTGGGGCTTAGAACTTAGAGATTAGCTCTTGGTTTATTACTTTCAATAATTTTATCTGACTTAAGCTGACTGATCTCTTCCTGGCTGAAGCCAAACTCTTTGAGTATCTCCTCAGTGTGTTCTCCTACAAAAGGATCCCTTTTGGACGAAGGGACAGCTGGGGTGTTGGACAGCTGGGGTGCAGGGCGGGGACTCACACCCTGCTCACTATCAATAATAAATGAGCCCCGATCTTTGTGGTGACCACAATGGGTAACCTCTTCGAAAGTCAAAACAGGAGTCACGCAGGCATCTGTGCCGTCAAAGATCTGACACCACTCTGCCTTTGTCTTCTTTGCAAATATATCTGCAAATTTCTTCTTCATTTCTGGCCAATCAGTTATGCTCATCTGACTGGGAAGTTCATCAGACTTTAGCCCAAGTCCTGAGAGAAAAACACAATTTCTTAAATTAGTATGCTTTGGGTAGAGTAAATATAATCAGTGAAAACGAGTTTTGAACTCACTACAGTCGCCCAAAACAGGATGTTCTATAGGGTTTTTCTCAAATGAGTCAAAAGAAGAAACTCAAACTCACCTTGAAGTTGGAGCCAAAGGCTGGAGAAGGTAGTGGGGGTAACAGGACTCAAAACAGACTTTCCAAGTCTTTGCCAAGATTTTATTATTTACATTTCAACCAAAATAGTCTATTTTTAATAGTCTAGTTTCCAGAAACTGACTTCTTCCTTCTGAGTAGGTTTTTAAAAAGAAATTTCCTCATGATGTTACTATCTGTCATATTGAATTAAAATAACTCCACGTGCTTCCCTGGTGGCGCAGTGGTTAAGAATCCGCCTGCCAATGCAGAGGACACAGGTTCGATCCCTGGTCCAGGAAGATCCCACATGCCGCAACTACTGAAGCCTGCGCACCTAGAGCCCGTGCTCCGCAACAAGAGAAGCCCGGGCACGGCAACAAAGAGTAGCCCCTGCTCGCTGCAACTAGAGAAAAGCCCACCCGCAGCAACAAAGACCCAACGCGCAGCAACGAAGACTCAACTCAGACATAAATAAATAAATAAATAAGTTTATATTAAAAAAAAACCCATATTTCATATAGTGCTCCCAAACCCTACAAAAGCTAAAATCTAAACACTTTATACAAGACTACAGGCAGACCTCGTTTTATTGTCCTTCACTTCATTGCACTTCTCAGACACTGCATTTTTACAAATGGAAGGTTTGTGCCAACCCTGGGTGGAGCAAGTCTATGTGTGCCATTTTTCCCAACAGCATTTGCTCACTTCGTGTCTCTGTGTCACATTTTGGTAATTCTTGCAATATTTCAAACCCTCCACCAGCAAAAAGATTACAACTCATGGAAAGCTCAGATGACGGTTAGCATTTTTTAGCAGTAAAGTATTTTTTAATTAAGGTATGTACGTTGTTTTTTTAGACAATGCTACTGCATACTTAATAGACTACTGTATCATGTAAACATAGCTTTTATGTGTACTGGGAAACCAAAACATTCATGTGATTTGCTTTATTGAGATAGTCCCTCTATTCCAGTGGTCTGAAACCCAACCCACAAAGTCTGTGAGGGATGCCTGTACCCGTTTTCAAGGAAGAAGTATAAAGATAAATGATTAAATTCAAGATTGCAATTTTATAAATAATGTTCATTTCTCTTTATTTCCGTCAAATAAAAGAGCTCTAGGAGGGCAGTGATATTTGACTCATTACTCTCTTACAACCCTGCAGTGACCTAGGAACAAAGAACTTGTAAAGTAACCAAAGACACATGCAAATTGTTCCTATAGCAAACAGGACAGAAAATTATCAGCCAGCCAATCAACAGGGGGCACAGAGACTTTTTTGCTCTCTCAAGTATGAAGAACCTTGAAGGGCCCATCAACACAAGGGACAGAGAGGATGACAGCATCCGCCAGGGGATATCACAGGAAGGATGGCTTCTCTGCCCCATGACCTGATCTGTGCTTCCTTTATTGACTACAAGCACCTACCCCTGTAGATACAACCAAACTCCAGTGCTGATTAAATTATACCCAACGGGACACTTTGTTGGGGTTTGGTGTAATTGCCATTTTTATTCCCTCTTGTAGAAGAGGGTTTCTAAATTTAAATTACGCATTATATTTTGCATAAGTTTGGCCAAGTTAATCAAGTAATTCTCACTTTTATCATGCTTTCCTCATCTACCATGTTGAAAAACAATGACCAATTGTAAGCTGCTCTGAAGATGCAAAAGTGCCTATGGAGGTAAAAAGACATGAATACTGCAGGCTCTTCTTAGTGTTTTGAGGGATATGAGGAGAATTCACATAGTTCTGAACAGCTGTGAAAATACACCTGTGGGATATACAAGTACATTTTTCTCTGTAGCCACATGTCCCATTCAAAACCAGGAAGGATATGGAGCCATAGATTCAGGTTTATCACTAAAATCTATAAGGAAATGTTTCTAAGGGTGTCTTTCACTTTGCTTTCTCTTTCCTGATAGCCCCGAACTCTCGGATTAAAAAACACATAAAACGAGCAGTTGGCCAAAAGCGTTTAAGTAGACCACAGCTACTGCTGGAAACATATTTGCATGCTTTTTTAAACAGTTTTTTATAAACAAAAAATCAGAATGTGATCAGAATCATAAACTAAATAAAACTGGAGTCAATAGTTCTCCAACAAACACTATACTTGAGATTACACAGATCATACTTTGTATACTGGAAAATACTAGAAATCAAAAGACCCCAGGCTCTACCCCTAACTCTGACACGCCAGCTCTTCCATCATCCTATCACCCTTTCTCAGCCCACAATTTCCCAGCCAGCTCAGGACCCCTCATCAAGGCCCCAGAACGAACTACCAGTGGTTTAGGGCGGGCTGCTTCCTGTGCTGCTGACAGCCTATGCGTAACTCTGAGTCCATTTCTCCACAGAACACAATTATCATTGTGGCTAGTTTTTATAGTACAATCAATATTCAATTTCTGCTATTATAAGTCAAACAGACTTTCAGAGACTGACCTGGGGACTCAGACACCATTTAAAACTTGGGAAAATATGTTTTGATTTCCAAAAAACTACCTTACACGTACATGTATACACACACTCACACACACACACACACACAATTATACAAAATATTTATTGTTTTAAGTATACGTCATAAACTTTCTACTCTGTAACACAATATTAGGCACATATTAAGCAGTCAAAAATGTATGCTGCAAGTATGCAATGACATATGTACAAAGATTAATGTTTATTAATAAACAATAAACATTATGTGTTATAATGTAAACCTGGAAAAAACGTAAATTAACTTGAATAAGGAATTGGTTAAATAAATTTTAGTACAGGTATACCACGGAATATGATATGGCTGCTAGATAAAGAGGGTGAGCCTGAAGATCTTTGGTACTGACAAAAAAGGATGTCTTTGGGCTTCCCTGGTGGCGCAGTGGTTGAGAGTCCGCCTGCCGATGCAGGGGACACGGGTTCGTGCCCCAGTCCGGGAGGATCCCACATGCCGCGGAGCAGCTGGGCCTGTGAGCCGTGGCCGCTGAGCCTGCACAACCGGAGCCTGTGCTCCGCAGCGGGAGAGGCCACAACAGTGAGAGGCCCGCGAACCACAAAAAAAAAAAAAAAAAAA